ACAGAGAGAGAGAGAGAGAGAGAGAGAGAGAGAGGATGTAATTGTCCGTTTCCAGCCAACGATCGCGGCTCTCGTTCATTTCATAGTTCTTAGTCGATTATAGCTCCCTCTACGGCTTTCAAAATGGCCGCCGGTTGACTGAGTTTCAGAGTTCACTCGGTCGGGGACGAAATTTGTTGATCGAAGCAATCTAATTACTCGTCTATGTAATTATATCGAATAGTTCGTAATCGTCTCTTGAAATTTTAATTTTTTCGAAACTACGTTATATTTTTTTTTTTTTTATTCTCAGAGATAAAATAAAATAAAGGAATAAGGGATAAGAGTTATTCCACGAAACGAGTTATTTCACGTTGTCGTTGAAGCAAATTCACGGAAGGTAGATTAGTGAATGTTTGTTGCAACGTTTCCGAGTTGTGACAAACGTGTGGTCCGCGCAAAGAACGGCAAATGTTCTCTCTTTCTGCGCGAGGGGCCGCCGCAGACTTCGTCTCGGTAATAACTCGATCGTAGTTGTCACGTGAAACCCAAATTAGAGCCGGTGTCGACGGGTTTCCGGTTCCGACGAAGGGGAGAATGGAGGAGGAATTGCGGTGGACGCCGGAATCACGAAGAACGAGCTATAAATTTAACCGCGTCGTCGTGCCGTGCGATCGTTGATCCTGAAATTGGTTTTCGACTCTCTAATTGGCCCACGCGCGGGACGTGCACGCGAATTTAATGAAAGCGACACCTCCTGCAACCTCGAGGGGGTGGAGGGGTTGCTATCTACCGAGCGGAGTGAAACGTTAAGATGAGTATCCCCATCCGAGCTAATATTCAAAATCATTTTGCTTTATGTCCGAATTATGTACGCCGACATTTGTGCTAGTAACTTATTTTTCAACTGTGAACTAATTAACAATTTTACACGTGAAACGAAAAAGTGTATAAGCGTTTTCTTTTCTTTTCTTTTCTTTTTTTTTTTTTTATTTTTAGAATCAATTATTCCTCGAAATTTAAAAGATGGACGTTCCAATCAAATAATATAATATAGACAATAGAGTATTGCAAAATTATTTTTAAATTTCGATATATTCACAAAGACTCGTGAAAGACACTTAAATTTTCTCCTGATTTCATTTTTATTCAAATAATTGTCGCGACTCGCTCGTTCTATATGAAAATTGTATTTAAAAAGTGTCTCGTTTTTCAAAAAAAAAAAATATTGAATTCTCCTGAAAATTTTGTTTTTCAAAAATTACAAAAGATCGATCGATGATCCTTCGATCTCGTAACAAGTGCACACTCTGTACATTTAATGCGATGTACGGATTGATCGTCGTGAGAAAGCAACGATCAATGTTTGTCGACAGCGCAACACCGAGCACAGCTAAGAATAGTGACATTGAGTGCAACGAAAACACACCGATATATAACCCATCCAAAGAATGAAACGTAGAACTTTCCGTGGTTGAGAATGTCGTTGGTGGTGGGTCGCAACAACGACATTGATCAAGAGAAGAGAGGATAGACACGAACACCGAGAACACCTTGTAAAACGTATATAATGTAATATATACACTGAGAACAGATTAGAAAGAAGCAAGAAAAAAAAAAAAAGAAAAGAAAAGAAAAGAAGAAAAGAAAAAACGACGAACGAAGCGACAGTAAATATAAAATTGATATAACGATGTCGTGCAATGATGACAGAGTAAACTATTATATCGTTCTTCTTGCGTCGCCCTCCTGTCTTCTTCCATTAGGCTCTCCTATCCTCTTTATTCAAAACATCCGCTTGTTCGGGGAGAAAAGATAAAATAAATCGAATATTTCCAAAACTTATCGTACATCGACAACACTAACTATTATAACTTCAATGATACGTACGCGAATGATCATCGAAACTCGTTGAAACGCGAGCGTCGATCAACAAGAAATATTCCAAATTTCTTCGTGTTGGAATAAATTCTTTCGATCGATCGGAACAATTGTTTGTTCGTAATAGGAAAAGCATACTGCGAAAAATGTATCCGCGTGATACATTGGGGGGGGAAGAGGGGAAAGGCTTTGCCGGAAGAGAGCGGAAAATAGGGATATCGGGGGGAGGGTTGGGCGGGAAGGGGTAGGGGGAACGCTGTCGCGGTAAACTTCCCATTATCCTACGATGTAACAACGGATCGCCGGCAGGCGTAACGGCAAAGTAATTAAAACTTTCGTTTTATTTGCATTATCTCATTGTTAGGCGTCGTATATTCTAATAATGGCGAGTTGTTAATTGCAATTAGGCGCGCTGGCTCCGCTGGTTCGCCAGCTATCCTCTTTCTTTTCTCCCGCTTATCCGCCATCTTTAATCCCCCTCTCCTCCCCCCCTACTTCCTTCTTTTTCTCTGTCTCTGTCGTTTCCTCCTAGACAACGTTGACGAATGATTCGCACTGTTTCGCTTCTCGACCCGGCCGTCGATTTCGATTAATCCTCGCGCGTTCAACTTCGAACTTAATTAATCGTGGCCCCTCCGTTCGAAAAATCGAACGGACGCTAGGAATTATTCCTCTAGGAGGAAACGAAACACGAGACGTGGAAACGTGTTGGAAAGAAAGATCTATCTTGGAAGAAGAACTCTCGTGGAGGAGTCGTGTTTTCGTTGCGTTTGCACGGTCGAAACACTCGCTTGGATACGATGGAAAGGTGAATCGAGAAACGTAGAAGATTTTTCGATTTAAAGGTTTCGAATTCTTCTCGATTAGCTGATTATTCGTTGAATTTGTACGTATATTCGTGATACGGTCGCCAAGCTTGTTGGTGAAATATTTCATCGAATTTCGGTCTTTTTGCTGCCGACACTTTTGAAAAGAAAAAACTTGTCCAGGCAAGATATCGGAAAGATTCGTTTTCCCGCGCGTGTAGCGAGTTTTCCACGCATTTTTCACTGCAACGCGCGAAGAGAATGAATAATCTCTTCCCTCTGATCGCAATTGTGTACCTTGCACGATGTTACGACGAAGGATAAACTCGTGTCTGGGCGTTTGGGAGTTGGATCTACAATCTCGGGACTACAATCATTCTGTGTTTACAGTCAACAGTTAGACGTTGATGAGTGTTTTGTACTTACCTTCCCTCTGCGTGGGTGCCACAGCGGTCATCGGCTGAGGAATAGCTTGAGGAAACTGGCCGTAGACGGCGGGATAAGCTGCGACAGTAACAAATAACAAATACATCATGATGTGTCCACATCTATACACGTGGTGCATGCCGCTCTTATTCTTCCTATTTTCGTTTCCGTAATAATACAGCAGCTTCTCAGTGGCCATCAGTGTTTTCGTGTAAAAAAGAAGAAAAGCAAAATCGTGTGTTCACCGTTTCAGAGACGCACCTTCCAAAAAATATCCCCTCGACTTTAAGTGCTCTTTTCCTATCGTTCGTACAGCAATGTAGAATCCGTTTCCCGTAAATTAGAACCATTTTCAATTACGCAGAAATATTGTATCTCGTAATAACAAAAAGCGAAACGAATTTTTTTTTTTTTTCTTTTTTTCAAAGATGCCGAATATTTTTCAGAAACCGAAGAGTAACCAGTTTTTCGCGCACACATATATATGCATATATATTACGTTGACAATTTATAATTCGACGAAATGCAACGGTGTAACGAGGTTCGAAATTAATAAAAGGTAAACTGCACGTGGTGGACACGTCAATCGAGTTAATGCGAAATTGCATTGTTGTCCGGTCGAGAAATAATTATGGCAGGACAGTTTATAATTGCTCGTAACAAAACATGGTGGTACGATGAAAACAACCGCGTTTAATTCACCCGAAAAACGAAAATTGGGGGGAAGGGAGAGAGGGAGGGAATACACGCGCCGATACTCCGCTATAATTCTCCGCTACCGGTTCCCGGGATTAATGAGAACACGTCTCGCAGCGTCACGTGAGACTGTGCGAAGTGAAGCGAAGGGGGTGGGGAGAGGGAGGAAGTCACCGGATGGAGAAGTCTCGTTTTCACCGTTCGCCGCGTTCGTTGCGGTCTTTTCCACGCGACGAGGATATTCGAGCCTCAACGTTCTCACCGTTTCTCCGCCATACTTTTAACACGATACTTTTGTATCTCGCCACGCTCCTATCGGATATTACCGACATTAACTGTCACGCGATATCCTTTTAAAGTCGCGGTCATCGCGTAACTGCGCGTTTTCGAATCCAGAGTCGTAGAGGATGATGACGAAGGTTGATGATGGCGAAGGTGAATTGTTGATAACGCTCGAACGGGGTTGATAAGAAAATTGTCGTATCCTTAATCGTGCGATGGAATCGAAATTGAAGATCATTTTCAAAAGTGGTCTCGTTCGGGAAAGAATTATTATTATTTCGAAACAATTTCCAACCGTATTGAAACGACCAACTTTTGCCACATTTTGATATTAGAGAGAGGCAATTATAACGGCATTAATTATACCTTGGCAAATATTTAAAACGCGCGCGCGATTGATATTTGTTTGTGACGGATGAATGTGGAGAGGGATGATCGGGAGGAGGGTACGATACGAGCGGTTCGCTCTCTCAGATCAGAAGAGGTAAATTTTCGCTTGGAAATTAATTATTTCCGTGCAAACATTGCTTTAATATATTCCGATTGACGTTAGCGGAGGTTTCGCTCCAACGATGGTCCCGACATTTGGCGTATGAAATAAATACGCCATCATGTATACCCGCCCTCGGTTACCGGCTCGCCCGGATAGAGCGGACACGCGATATTTCGGATTGCTTTTTTTCCACTCGCTGATCTCCACGCCTCTGTGTACATTGGACGAAAATACACAGAAAAAGAATATCCTATTTTCGAGTCTTTGGCAAACACGGGAAACCAGCGGGGGCCTACGCGGCGTACGAACGTCATGCCTCAAATTTGATGAATTTTCACCAATTCGGTGCGCGCGCGTAGATAGTGAAAAAGGAGGAGGGTAGATCCACCGAAAGGGTGGGGTTAATGGGCGGAACAGAAGAAAGGAATATCGGGTGGATGGGAAGAGAGATTCGAAAGTTTCTTATTTCAATGATTTCTTTCTTTTTTCTTTTCTTTTTCTCTCTATATTTCGAGTATAGTTTGGATTAAGAATATCGTTCGCGGTAGAATTAATAAGAGCAGCGTGAATTTTGCTCCATCTCTTGATGTTACCAAGAAAATAAATGTCGTAAAATGATTTTTCGTTATTTCTGGTAACTTTTTGAGCCGAACTTGCACGATAAGTAAATTTTTCCGACTATTGTAACTTTGTACAGAGCGTGGTGGCAAGTTTTGTGTATATAACCGGATATGAAGTTGTTCTATGTGCAGAAATAAATGAAAAATTTAATATAAAGTTTCTGCAAAAGCAAAAGCAAAAGCAAAAAAAAAACGCTGAATTGGATACAAAAGAACAATTAGTACTCTACACGTGAAAATGAACAAAAATTTTTTCGCTTGACATTTCGTTTTCGAGAAAATTTAGTTCGAATACATGTATACTTGAATAAATCTTGTCCAAACATGTTCAAACTTCATTTTA